GAACTGGAAAGTGACCTGAGATGACTTGTGTTGTGAATTGGAGCTATATAAATAAACTGAATTGAATTGACCCGTGGACCAGGTTCTGATCCCCATTGACCCATTGAACCCCAGTGTACAGGGTTCTGATGAGGTTCTGACAGAGTAAATGTCCAGGTTGGATCAGTGCAACCATCATACCTGTCTGGCCCGGGCCCTGCCAGGGGAGAACTTCCTCCTAGAGATTGCTGGTTTTCCCATGCCAATCTTCTGGGTGAAGGGGAACACGGTGGTTGGTGGAGCCTAATGACAGGAAATGAGATGAACTGGTGCAGACAAACCAAACACAGGAGACATGATCACATGTGGCAGACATTTCACCTGGACTAGAGGGGAGTCTCTGGAGGAGACAGGAGAAGGTGGAGTGAGCGGAGGTGGTGTGTTTGGGGTCCTGGCAGGTGAGGTGTCAGGAGAAGCTTCAGTGGAGAAGGGAGACTGCCTCAGGCGGATCAAAAGGTCATCTGAAGGGTGGAAAGAGCTGCGGGGGAGTCTGAGGCTCCGCCCCTTTTCTCTACATGCGAAAGGGGCAGTGGTCATCAACTCCATGACTTCCATGTCCAAGGATGGGTCCAAGTCCAGAATGGGGCTGCCTAAGATCTCCTCCTTATCTTCTACTTGACGCTCATCCGTTGGCTTCACCTCCTCTGCTTTGTGCTCTTCTTCCATTGGCTGTTTACCTGCTCTCCCCACTGGCTGCTTCTCTGGAGTCTCACTTTTTGACACGGGTGTATCTTTGGTGGGTTCAGTCTCGGTTGAAACAGGCTCACTCCGGCTGTTCTCATCCCACCCTCGGTCGGCCCTTAAAGGACAGTTCTCTTCAGGGGGCTGAGAGCAAACCAATGAGGCAGTCATGGAAGGAGAGGAGGCCAAGGAGTAATCCTGGAAACCAGCCTTAGGATGTGGGCTAGAGAGGCCTGAAGAGAAAGTGGAGCCAGATGTATTCCTCACTTCAACATCTGCAGAAACAAAAAACAAAGAGCAGTTGATGATAAAACAATAAATGTTTGTTCTTAACCTGTCGGATCTTTTGTGCTCCAGTCAGAACTCTCTGACATTGTTGGTTAAAATAGAGCCTTCTAGGGATGGTCAACATGTTTCACTTTAACAATGGTAGCTAACACGTTCTGTTAGCTTTAAAAAACACAGGTGTAGAAAATCTGGATTTATCTGAATAAGTAAGGTTATTTATATTTCAAGAAGTTCACCTTAATGGACGTAAGATTGACACGTACACACCGCTCTGGCTGAGCGAGGGAGTCCACCGAGCTCCACCCAGACCAGGAAATCAACATGCAGCTGGCTTGAAAGCATCAGTTTAGGCAACTGGACGTGAAGCTCTCTAGAAAACGCTTTCTCGGTTTTAACTAATGGTGGAGCGCACTAACATTATAGACGGGAGTTAGAACAAAGAATGCGGGGGAACAATGGAGGACAGCTGGGGGGTTAATGACCATTAGTGTGACCTTTGACCTGGATAACAGAGTCCTCACATTTCTATTTCATCGCTACAGACCGCCAGAGGGCGGTGCTGAAAGCATTGAATATGTTATATGCACTAAATAGAGTCATCCAGGGTTCTGTTCCTTACTTATTCTTGTGGGTGGTTTGCCTTGTGTAGCATATTATTTTGAGCTTTTAGGACCAGCCTTTGGACGGTTCCGGGTAGCTGGAAACCCTGTTGACTACTGGCTGGAGGTGCAACAATTTCGTCCTCCTAGGGCTGTAACAGGTTGACCTTCGTACGGGACTTAAAAGTATGCATAGTGTTTGTTGGTGACCCTTCTCCCGGCTCACAGACTCTTACCCTGTTTTCTGACCAGTCTGGCTGAGTTCAATGTCGATGTTTGAATATGGCTAACGTTTTCTTAATTCACTGATCCTCGTTTTTTCCCTCATCTGGTGACGGCAGGGGTTTTTCACCAGTCTTTCCCAGTATAACTGATCATATTGTCTGCCGAGGCTCGTCCTGCAGCCTTGGGTTCTCAAAATATTGTGCTGTTTCCCTTTCGAACCCTTGGTGCGGAGCTCAAGTGGCTCTCATATAAAACTGCCTTTTTGCTGGGTGCTGGAGGCATATATGGCTGCCACTAAAACCGCTCAGACCAACTGTTTGTGTGCTATAGATGTTCCAAGCGGGGCTGTCCTCTTTCTAAACAACTTCTCTCCCACTGGATTGTAGTTATCATCTTCTGTTCCATCCCCTCAGTGCAGGGTGTGAAGGCCCACTCTACCAGGAACCTCTAAGCTTCCTGGGCTGCTATGAGGGGGGTTTCGTTGAAGGCCATATGTTTCTCCAAACACATTCACTAGGTTCTACAATGTCAAAGTAGCTGCCCTTTAACACCTGGGTCACCTTCTTTTACGAGGTTCAGCTAGCCCTCTGATTGAGCTAAGCGCTCTGTATTCCTTGTGACGTGGTAGGTATTTGTCATTCAGTTGTTCCAGCATTGCCCTCTGCCGGTCACCTGCAATTTATAGAACAATAGTCACATTCCTAAATTGCGATATGTGACTACGTAGCTGGGTTGGGTCAACGTAAACAGAAGCAGCAGCTAAATCTGGACAGCCAACTGAACTTGCACAGCTGGATGAGTAACATTACTGAAGGAAATCATAATCCTAACAAAGAAGAGAAAGTATTTTATTTACCTTAATTGACCAGGTATGAAAAGTGTGTTGATTACAAAAGCATATCTAATGATCATTTCTGTCCACTCACCTTGTTTTATGGCTTTTAACCAGAGCTACTGTATTTTCTCTTTGTCTAGCAGTGAAAGCAGCTAAGCGATCAAACTTCTAATTGTTCGTATTTTGCTCAGACGGTCTCTGTAAAGTGACCTGAGATAACATTTTGTGACTTGGTGCTATATAAATAAACTGACTTGAAAATTGAATTGAATTGTACTTTGTGTATTCTACAATCTAAAAGTGAAGTAATCTGCCAATCTCAGCTCCTTTTTTAGCCAACCCTGTGCTTTTTGGTCCAGTTGTCCGTTAGTTTTGCCCCCAGCAAATGCTCTGAAGTAACGGATATGGACAAAAACAGGGTCTACAGGATTAACCACTCAGAACTGATCTTAACCAACATGAGGGGATCTGAATCATTCTAAAACAATTTGGCATGGTAGGAGCTAGCCATTCAAGTCAGTTCTACAGAAGATGGACGAGGTCAGCACCCCCCATCATGTCATGGCTGCTACCACTCATTCCTCCTCACCTGCAGAACAAACTGGAATAAATCGGAGCCGACACTCATCCTCCACGCTTCCTCCTCCCTCGGCCATCTCGGCAGGCTCCACATAACCTTCTGGATTCCTCTGTGGTTCCTCAGGTGGCTCTCTTTGCTCCTCTTCACCTGCTTCAGGAAGATGTGTTTAGAAAGCTATATCATTCTGACGTCACAGTAAGTGTTGCATTCTGCATGACACTAACCTCCAGGAGATCCACACTCCAACACAGTTTGTTGAGTGACTGCTGGACTGGAATCAGGCTGTACTTCGGTAGAAAGATCGTGACTAGGATGGATTTCAGACTTCTCCTGCCTGACGGGAGCAAGACTAGCAAGATCCAGACCAGAACTGACCTCCTTGGATATGGAACAAGTATCATCTACACCAGGATCAGAGCAAGCCTCTGTCTGAATACCGCTAACAGGACTGAGACTTGACTCTGACTGGACAGAACAATAGGGGACAACACCAGTGTCAGAACTTTTCTCCAGCTGAACAGGATCTACAGGCCCATGCGTGGGACTAGGTTGTTGACCGTCCAAATCCACAGTACTAATGACAGAGCTTTTCCCTGAGTCAATGTCAGAGCAGACCTGAGCTTGGAACGAGGAGGTAAGTATTATGGGAGCAGGGCTATCCTGGGATTGGGCAGGACTTGCTGAGTCACTGGAGATCATGGCGTTACTCACTGCATTGTCAACATAGAAACAGCAGGCAGGGCTTTGAGTAGATTGAGCAAGGCTATCAGGTCTCTGAGACCCAGCTTCAGGACCAGTTGGGAGTGGACCAGGAGAGGGTGGGTTGTCATGTGCCAGGCACATTTCCATATCAGGATCTACAGTCTGGACATCAAGCAGGGCTTTAGAAGCCGAGCTCAGTGGATCCTGAGATCCTTTGGTATCCATTGCTGAGTTTGCTGAAGGTCGGTGCTGCATTTCCCTATTCTGAGCTGGGCTGTGAGGTGGGCTAGCAGGGCTGGGATTCTGTGTTTGCTCTACATATAAAGGACTATTTTGACCAGCACAGCTAGTCCCTGGTGACCCATCTCCAATGGAGGGGATACTGGTTAAGCAAGGGTTATAAGCGCAATGTGGATTAATCTCAGTCTGTGATAAACTAACCACAAAGCCTCTTATTCCTACTGCATGGTGCTCACTATCAGGAGGGAATTCTATATCCTCATCCTGACCAGAGATTGAGTGGACAGGTTGAGCCAGTTGTGATGTCCTCATGGACCTTACAGTTAGAGACTCTGAGCTGTCTGCTTGAGTGGAGGAAGTGGTGGGGAGGAAACCAGTTGACTGTGGTGGGAGGATAGTCTCTGTTGGCAAGGGGTTCTGGCAGGTTTTGCGGCAGAAGGCAGGGTTTGCAGGTACTGGCTCAGCTTGTGTGGGGCACTCCTTGGTTTCTGAACATAATGATTGACTTTGTTGAGCACTCTGGTTTACCTTGGTGTTTGGCACACAAGGTGAGCAAATCAGGCTACTGTGTTCAAGTGAACTGCTACATTTATCAAGGCTTTCTGGTTTCTGTCTGGGAGAAATAAGAAACAGGCTTGAGTGGACAGAGTGTCTCCCAGCAGAGGGCACTTTAGATTGGTCAGATCTAGAGCTTAAATTTGGTGAGGTATGTTCCAGTTTAACAGTCTGTCCATTGGATTTAAGGATTTGCTCAGCTGGGGACACTAAATGCCTGCAGGTTTGGCCATACTTTAGCTGAACTGGACTTGCAGGTTGTGAAAGACTGGGGGGTCTAGGGATTTCTAGGGGAGGGTTGGTGCTACAAGGAGCTGAATAGGATCTAAACATTTTCTTTGGAGGATGTGATCCAGAGGCTGCCTCTTCTAATGGACTACATATGTTGGGACTGAGCTCAGGCTGTAAGATCATGATGGGTGTGGAACTGCATGGGCTTCGTAGCTGTGTTTCAGGTTCCAAATAGTAGCTGGACTCTGCTGGTTGGAATCTGATAGGGCTCAGCATTGGTTGACTCAGATTCTGGGTTGAAGGGCTGTGTGGAGGAAGTATATGCAGACGTTCGCTATCCTGTTCTGGATTCTGTTGATTCTCGGTCAACTTGTCTTCCAGACTTGCAGAGGGTAAATTCATCCCAGATGAACTGTGAATTGCCTGCACTGGGGGGCCGTGTTTTTTTTTAGTTTTAAGGTGTTGAGCAGGACAAGAATGAGTTGGTGCTGGACAACATTCAGTTGAACCGGACTGACTTTGAACAGGTCTGTCAGGCGTAAGGCTGTGTAGTGTTTGAGTTTCCTTTGTTTTTGACTGAAAGTAAGGTGGTAATGATGATGTAGCGCTTGATATGGACTTAGCATGACCAGAATCAAATGGCCTGGACATGACTTGGTGATCCACTGTCCGTAGGTTTGAATGGCTGGTACTTTCTTTGAAATTTTGTGGTTCAGTAGGACAAAGCAAAGCATTTTGATGGTCCTCTTTTACAAGGGATGATTCAGGACTGTCTTCAGTCCTTTCAATTGGCACAGAATCTGGTTTGAGATTTGTAGAGCATTTAGGACTTTGGATAACATCCTCTGGAGAAGATACAAGACTTTCACCTGTGTTCTCTAGAGGGGTCCTTTGAATCTGACAATTCTCCCTCTGAGAAAGACAAAGATTTACAATGGTGTCCTTTAAAGATGATATTTGACTTGTACAGATCTGGCCAGGGAGTGTTGGTGGAGGATATGGATGGTTCTTCTCCGAAGACTGAACAAGAATTTCATATTTCTCACCAGTAGAAAATGGAGATGACAGAGGACTCTGACTATCCTCATCAGAAGATTGCAGACTTGGACTTGTCACTTGTATCAAAGTGGCAGAGGTTGACAGGTTCTCTTTTAAAGATTGTGCCCGGTTTTTACTTGACTGCACCTGAAATGGCGTAGAAACATTTTGGAGTTGACTTTTACATTTATCCATAGAATTCAAGATCTCTTTTGATACTGATATAACTTCAGTGGGTTGCGTCTTTTGTAGAGGTGATGACAGACTTTGATGGAGACTTCCTTCTGATGGTGAAGAATGCTGACAGGTCTCTTCCAGAGAAGAGGAATTGCTTTCATGGGGATCTTCAATGACAATTGGGGGAATTTTGTGGCCCTTCATTGAAGATGAC